TATACACTTTTTCTAGTGGAAGGAATCTTAGGGAAAATTAAGTATCATACTTTCTTGCTATGATAAGATGGTTTTCCTCAATAAAAATTAGAAAACTTTCTGCCTTTTTATTCCCCCAAATGTTAATGTGAGATTTGATCAATATTATATATCGGATATGCATGCAGTTACCTTTCTTTCATTAAAATTTATTCTGTAGTATAATCCTTTGTGTCCTTTACCAAGGAGCAACAAGTTGTGTAACTGACTTGCTCTAAAGCGTTGAAAGCCTTCCCTGCAGATTCTCAGTCAATTTTCTGCCCTCCATGATTGGATTCCCCAAAATTGACTTCTACAGATGTTCCTTCTTTGCCAAGAAAACCCCGCTACCTTTTCAGCTGATTGCATCAGTTCTGTATTTGGCTAGAAGTTGCAGCACCCAATTACAAACCAGAACCTAGAATCAACTGTGATTTGTGAAATGCATGTTTTATTTAAGTGATAAAAAATGACAATTATTGGTCTCAGCAGCGTCATAGATGTATGAATACCAGCACTGCTTAGAAAATTTATCTTGAACATGTGATCTCGTGAACATGTATTAACTAGTGTTTGTTTGTTTCTTCATTGAATTCAGGTTTCAGTTTCATCAATGGATATTGGTGTTGTACCTGAATCACCGATGAGGGATGTCTCAATTTCCCATACAAGACCCCCCAAAGGGACGATTGACCTATTTTCTGGACCTCCCATTCAGATGCCTTCCCACTTTTCTCCAATGGACAGGGAGGCCAGAGTCCTAAGGTACAGAGAGAAAAAGAAGACAAGAAAATTTGAGAAGACAATCAGGTATGCCTCAAGGAAGGCCTATGCAGAAACTAGACCCCGTATAAAAGGTCGATTCGCCAAGAGAACAGATGTAGAAGCTGAAGTAGATCAAATGTTCTCCACAACACTAATTACAGAAGTTGGATATGGCATTGTTCCCTCTTTCTGAATATACTGTCTTGAACAAAAATGGCCAGAAGACAGAGAAAAAGCTAGATGATCGTGATAAGTAGAAATGGCAACCGTGTACTATGTTATTTTGTTGCTAATGTAATTTTTATGTAATATAATTTCTCGCAGCTGCACCAATCGGATGCTTTATTATTTTGTTTATTGTCTTTTGAATGAAACTTGTATTTGTAAATACAGTTCTTGTATTAATTTAAAGTCAATATATCTTTGATAAATTTTTATTTTCTCAACCTTTTTCATTTCTTTGCTCTTGGAAGAAGGTCAAAGGCCAAAACTTGTCAATTATATATATGTTTCTCTTTTTCTTTTTTTTTTCTTGTTTTTACGTTTCCACTGTTCATCACTCCTCTGCATATAATGTTCCTATCATCAAGAGATCATGAGAGCTTTTGGCTTATTTGGCTAAAAGTTAGATAAATCTACTTTGCAGAAAAAAATGCATTTGTAATCATTGATTAGAAACTTAATGATTAAGAATGTAACAACTTTAGATTTTTTATACTTGAACTCCTTTTATTTTATTTTTACTCATAATTGTTTGTTTTCTAATTTACTGTTGTAAGTGCATTTTATTCTTTACCATGTATGTCCTTTAATTTGAAGTAAAAAAATACTTTTAAAGCAAAATAGAATATTCTTATGGAAGAAAAGAGATTTTTATGATGATTGTGTCCTGATGCCAAAATACTTTTTGAAAAGTTCTGCACAAAACTGTTGATGAATTTATTTCAATGCATGAACTCACTTACGCTTTAACCAGCCTCTTGATTATTTTAGTTTACAGGTAACAATTTGGACTGAGAACAGGAGAAGAGAATGAAGAAACAAATAAAGAAGTTTTTTCCAATGAAACTGTGGTAACAGCGGGTTAACTCTCATGTTGAAGAAATACCGTGCTGACTTTATTTCCATCTCAAATGGAAATGTAGAAGACATGGAATGCAAGATTTTCTTTCAGTAGGATGTGATCTCTAGAGGAATCAATATAATCCTGCACATCCACGTAGTGAAAAGGAAATGTTCTGTCCCCTTCCCAAGTAGTATATTTCGTACAGTAAATTGAAAGTTCTATAACAAAGTTCCTTTGCACCTTTTGGCATCATATGGGAGTGAATATTTGACAAAAAGTAAAAGTAAATGAATCCATGGGAGAGTCATCCATGACCAAGACATTGCTATATACCCAATGATCAGAAATCCTGAATCAAACTGAGGCTTTTTGCTTTAAGTTTCAGGGTGTCATGGGCCATAATCAATATCTGCTATTCTATTTGCTACATAGAAATAGTGATAATAGCAGACACCATTCATTCTTTCCCACATATCATGACTGCAAAGCAATGATACCAGATTAAATGGTTACAGTTGGAATATTCTTTCTCTACTAAGTCCGAAGTTGCTTAGGTGGCAAGTATTCCCACAGTAATGATTCCTATTTTAATGTAAAATTTATACTCATCTGCTGGTGAATTAAGACAAATCAGCACTGAAATAAACCTTTGATTTTAAATTTGTACTGTGTTTGTTAAGTTAGTTTCTGTTGAAATCATTCACGGAAAATAAAGTTCAGTAAAAGGGTATTGTTTGTTTATTTTAAAACTTTAGGAAATAATTTACGTAAGGGTAGGAGTAATCCCCACCATTAATAAAAAAGATACTCAAACGCTGGTGATACAAATTTCTATTTCTTGTATTTTTATTATTTATCTCGAGGTATTTTTTGTTTGATTTCTTTTATTATTAAAAAATATTTTTTAAATTAAAAAAGAAATATATATATATATAAATTATTAATAATTTTAATTTTAAGTCATCAGATATTAATAATAATGAAATCAGATTCTTTTGTTCTTGTATAAAATTAAAAAATAATAAATAACTACTTAAAAAATAATAATTAATATACAATATTATTTAAAAATAATAATATATAAAAAATAATTAATAAAATAACGTGTAGTATATTCATTTTAACGGATTTGTAGGGAGGTGGAGGTATACTGTTAAAAAAAGTTTGTATTATATATCTCAGTAAAGTTGTTTGCATAAGTTTCATAGTTCAATCAGGTTACATATGTAGTGTTCCTCAAAAGTAGCTGCACTTTTCTTTTCTTTTCTTTTTTCTTTTACGAAAGGCGCGAGAGACAAGTAGAACAGGGAAGAACTCGTGGAGGCTATTGTTACATACGAACAAGGATTGATACCTCTTTGTTCGTTTGATGTGCATGTCACTCAAACTTCAAAACTCAGACAGGTAAATGCAGCCACCAAATTGATTCAAAAGACGAAAGAACAAAATTTGCATGCCTGTAAGACATCCTGCATTTCTTGACAAACAAAATCGGAAATTTTGGGTCTGATATTATAAAAAGGAATTTTGTATGACTGCTGTAAGAAACTCTGATCTTAGAATACCATTATTGTATTTGCCAAACCTTCCATAAAATGTATACCTTTTCATCATAGCCATGCATTTCATGTTAAAAGTTAATAATGTATCAAACTCAAAATAGACTATACATACAATCGTAGCTTGAAAGGGTTCTTTAGAGGAAAAGGGTTCTTTAGATGAAGAGTTACTTCAACCTTGAAAACCAATCATGCGCGTGGCCCCGAATTAAAGACAGTGAACCATGTCCAAATATGTTGGTTTTGCTTTAAGATCCACAAACTCCAAGAAAACCAATTCCGATTTGGTAATCCAGCCGTAGATAGATAATAACAGCGACAAAAGTGTTCCAATTATTGATGAACTCTAGTACGCGTTTCCACCATAATTATGTAACCTGTGCTTCGAAGAGTAAGTAAACACTTCACTATATCAGCTCTATGACACATTTGAGTAGGATATAAAAAGTCTTGAAGATTTTAAGAAACTATGTATGAATATTACGATTAATTAGATTATTTTAAAAGACTTTCATAAAACATTAAGAGGATTTAGTTTAGTCGAAGAAGTGAAAATTATTTTGATTTGAAGGGAGGAAAACAAACTTAATTTTAATTAAATGTTTTTAAAATTTAACCATTGAAAACATGAATTCAATATTTAAAGATTCAATCGAGATTTAATCATATTTAACTATATTTAATAAAATAATATTTTTATAATATAATAAATATATAATAATAATATTTTTTTACAAAATAAAAAAATATTATTATAATCCTCTTAAATTATAATAAAGATTAAAAATATAAAATGATTAATTGTTAAAATATATATACAAATATAATAAAATAATTATTATTTAAAATTGATATAATTAATATAAGATTAAAAAAATTAAAATATATTATATCATTATTAAAAAAATTGATATTATTTTTTTTATCATGATTTTATAAAAAATACAAAAAAATTTACCTATTTTATCTTAATTTAACTAAAATTCAGTTATCTAAAAATAATATATTAATTTCCAAACGGTTGAATTAGTCCGTTAGATTTTAAAAAGATTGATTTATACTGAAGCATTGTTGGTAGGTTGGGTTGGGAGTGAAAGCATATGTCGTATGCAAGAATGCAGAAGGAGATAAGAATGTTTTGAGAAAAAAAGGGGGAAATAAGGATAAATATGATATTTAAAATAAAAGGGACAAAAGTAGGATGTAGATAGCAAAAAGGAAGTGTAAATAGAAAGATCCAACTAGAATCAGCATACCTGAAAAAGCCCAAATTAACCCAAGATTTCGAAAAAGAACGGCCCACGGCCTATAAAAAGCGAACATGACGGATTTTTGTAAGCCCTTAGGAAAGGGCCAAAGCCGGTTTGTAAAGGGCCCAACTTAAGCATAGTTCAAGTAGAAAAAACCCTTTGCCGAACTCATTCATTCATTCGCCACCACCGCCGGCGAAAGCCCCAACCAGTGTTTTCTCTCATCTCTTTCCAGCGCAAGTGCGTTTTTTCTCTAGCGAACTCCTCGCGAAAGGGTTTGTGTCAATTGTTTATTTTTGTGTGATTTTGGTTCTTGAGTGTGGCAGTTTTTAAAGCAAAATAATGGGAAGGAAGAGAAAGCGCAGTGAGAGTAGTGAACTTGTGGCACGGCCCAAAAAGGAAGATGCTGCTCCAGAGAGACCAGCGAGGACCCTTTTGGGGTGGAAGGATAAGAATCAAGTTACTGATGAAGTTGAGGACAGTAATGTTCACTCGCCAATATTTAGGAACAAAGAGAAGGTTTTGGTCACTTGCTCTAGGCGCATCAGTTACAGGTATAACCTAATACACACCCCATAACTTTTAGTTACAGATTTTTTTTTTTGCTTTTTAAGAGTTTGGATTAATTTATTTCTGTATCTTGATGTGCAAAGTTTTAAGAACAGAGAGACCCCGTATCGTTGGTTAGTTTTTGTATATTATTTTGGTATTCATGGGGTGGAGTTTTTTTTTTTTTTTTCCTTTAATTTGTAGGTACCGGCATTTGATGTTGAACTTGGTCTCGCTTTTGCCTCATTGCAAGAAGGACAACAAGGTTGAATCAAAGGAAACTAAAGGCGCCACCCTTAACGAGCTTGTTGAGCTCAAAAATTGTTCCTCTTGTTTATTTTTTGAGGTATTTTGTTCATATTCCACAAGGTTTTTCAGCACCGTGTTACTTCAAATTAGGGTTAATGTGTTATGCTGTTCGCTAGACTAGTAGTATTTACATTTTGTTTACGCTATTAGGATAATTTAAAGCACGGTTATGGGTAGAGGAATTCTTTTGTTGGTTACAAATGTTGATGCTTTTCTATATGATATGGAAGTCATGATTTTGAGGCTGATCGACTTGTTATATTCTGATTAGTATCTTCTCCTCTCCTTTTCCATGTATTAATTTCAGTGCAGGAAGCAAAAGGATCTTTATCTCTGGATGGGAAAATGCCCCAATGGCCCATCTGTAAAATTTTTAGTTAGTGCGGGTAATATTCTCATTTGATCATTGACCTAGGGCTAATACAATACTAATTTGCTTGCTATGATTATGTAGAGTTCTGATATCTGTATACTCTTGGCATCACTGGTCATTCTTCCGTGTTCTGATATCTATATACTTTGACTGATTTTCCCTTTTAATTCTACTGCTTTCAGTGCATACGATGGAGGAATTGAAGCTAACTGGAAATCACCTAAAAGGTTCCCGTCCTCTTTTGACTTTTTCATCAAATTTTGAAAAAGATGCACACTGGAAACTGTTAAAGGAGATGTTGTTGCAGGTATATGGTTGTTTTCTTTCCTTGCAAGTATTATATTTTTTTGTCCATTTAGTTTCATCTGAGGAAAGATTAGTAAATCTCCAAACTTCATGTTGATTACTCTAATGATTACTCTAATATGTACGTGCCATTTCATTTATGAAGGGCTAGCTTGATTATTTAATCATACTTTGTTGATTCATGGTGTTGTACTCTATGAATTGCCAGCCTAATTAAGAATAGCTTTATCTTTACTTTTTCTTGATGGAATGTGGATCTTACATTGTCGATATCGTATCTGCCTAGGAGTATTTTTCTGATCAGAGGAAATTCTATCAATTTTATGCATGTCCATTTATTTTTATATAGTTTAGATCAAGTCAGCTGAGATCTGTTCAATGCATATATTTCTGTGTACAGTTTTCTCCATTTCTGATATACTGTTTTTTTCTTTTGTTCAGATATTTGAAATACCAAAGGACCATAGAAAGGCTAAGCCCTTCCATGATCATGTTTTTGTTTTCTCAATAGTTGATGACCATATATGGTTCCGGAATTACCAGGTTTGTGTTTGTATTTGCACAAGATGTAAAGAATGTCCTTTACCTGTTGTTGCATTAATTAAGAGATTAAAATCTAGAGAGTTGTTGTTTGGGGTATTATTTCTGCCTACTTCTAAACAAACTAAGTATATATTGTGATTATAAATTTGTTTATTGCTCTAGTTAGGCACAGGTTAATGACTGAAGTGAAGTATGAGTTGAACATTTTGAACTTTTTCATTGTTGTAAACATTACTGAGGAATGAACCTAAGTTTCTATTCTATACATTTCAAATCTAAAGAATTAGTTTTGGGGATCCTGAAGAATTCAATATGATTTAGAATGCTTAAACACAACTACTTCGACGATGGAGTATATTTGGTCATTATAATGAGTTTAAATTTGATTTACTATCTAAAACATTTTATTTGTAAATGCATGAAGATGTTCCACTATGGTATTGTTTCCTCAGCTCAAAAGTTAAACATTGAACTAATTTTCTGTTTTGAATATTTTGCTCAATACTGTTCACCCACAGTGTAAAACTCCGAGAAGTAAAACAGAATCCTTATTGATGGATGTGATGTTTAATTTTACTGATCAACTTTATTCATTTAATTATGGTCACTCTTGCTAAATCAGTTAGTCTTGATTTTGGTTTAATTGTTGTGAGAGCCGCCAATTTATATTCTACTCACTTTTTCTAGGACAATAAACCATTGGATTGGGTCATTTGTTATACTCATGAAATAGTCATTAGTGGACAATTGTGCCTGTTAAAATTTGTTTAAAAGACTAGTTAATGCAACGTTCGTGACAATGATATTGATTTTTCCATGACACAGTATTGTCTCATTTTCTGCCTTTTACTGATGCCTACTGAGCAATGTTACATCTTTATTCCCGTGCAGATTTCTGTTCATCATAATGAATCAGACAAATTACCAAGAGGAGGCCTTGATAAAATGACATTGATTGAGGTCTGAAAATTGGTTATTGATGTATTATTTTGATCTCTGTCAATTTCAAATATTCATTTAACCTGTGTGAAAACTACTTCTTTAGGTCGGTCCGCGATTCTGCTTGAACCCAATTAAAATATTTGGTGGCAGTTTTGGAGGCCCAACATTATATCAGAATCCATTCTATGTATCTCCAAATCAGGTACCAACCAATATATTCTCCGTTTATACTTGGAATTTCTCAAGCTTTCTACTAATAATAAGTACATCTGTCATTGGCTTCTGGTTCTGATAGATTCGAGCGCTGGAGAAAAAGAAGAAGGCTGGAAAATTTGCAAAGAAGGTCAAAGCAAAGACAAAGAGAAAAATGCATGAGATGGCTAATCCTCTGGAGCCTGATGAGTTTGCAGATATGTGGAAAGATTGATTTTTATTACAACCGCAGCTAGGAGTAAGAAAAATCCATATTTCGCCTTATGTCCAATGATCATGAGATGGTACATTTGGTTGGCCGTTCGAGTTTTGTAGCAACAGGTTTTGATGTGAATTGCTTTATATATTCAGCTGGAGATATAGGCTCTACTTCTCTTTATCCTTCATAACATGAAAGGGAGACTTTTGTGATTCTTTAATGTTATTTTGTGTAATTCTTGTGGAGGCTGGTTCTCTTCTTATCAGACATTGCTTTGGTGGAAATTAAATTAAATTGACAGAGAAGGTTCCAGTTCTGAGTTTGAGATTGGAATTGAGTTTGAATTATATGTTTAATGTAAGCTTTTGATTCACACCAGAACTATTAACGCTCTCACTATAATTTATAGCCCATAATGACCAAATTTAAAATATGGCTTGAAAAATATATTTTAACAATTTTGCCATGACTTTTCAATAGTTTGTTTAGGGTGGCTTTGTCAAAACAGAGAGATTGAAAGCTATTTTAGTTTATTAGTCCCTTTTTAAATCTTTCTGTTGTACTTTGTTTGTTTTTGGTTTCCTTCTCAACAGAGAAGGATTGCCAAGGCCCAAAGAGCACCATCGACTCTTTCTTTCTGCACCGTAATAATATCTCCCTGCACTCAAAATAATACAAAACGATCGAATTGTCCAAAAGCACTTTTCAAACTCTGTTGTCACAAGTTTTATTTCTTCTGAAACCATTTCAGAACGAATTGAATATAATTTTGGAAAGCATATTCATTTTCAATATAAGCCAAACAGAAAATAAATCCTCTTAAATTGACTTCCTTTTAAAGAAGAAAGGCATGTCTTTCTTAATTATAAAGAAACCCTGTGAGAAATAATAATAATAAACCACCGACAACTTTTATTTTCTTATCAAATGCACATACCACATCTTTTATTTGTTTTCGATTTAGCATGTCACATCACAAACATAAAATAATATATACCATGTCGGTGTGCAACATTGGCACGGATATTTTTTATTGTCCCATTAATTTATTCATCGTATACTCCTTTTCTTTTTAAGGCTTGAAATCCTTGCATGACGAAACCCAGATTCTGCATAGTATATAAGAGGAAATTAGTACTTCAATAATTCAACATGCTTATGCTCTATCTCGTAACGCTGCATTAATAATGGAATCTGAGTTTATTATGGTCACATTATTTGTGAATCTCACCTTTAACCATAACATTTTTGTCCTTTAGCTATGTGAATAGATATGATACACCTCAATCATGAGTTATAATTATCTTATTTGATCTCAATTTTTTTATGTGATTCACTTTTCTAGAAGAGTAGTCTTTGGTTAGCACTTAAAGTCACGGGCATAAAATAGATGTTGGCCTCATGTAACTCCAAGAGGAACAGAACATATTCCAATTTTAACTCCCAAACCATAAATCCAATCACCATCTCTTCTTTGCCTTTTCTGTTCCAGTTGGTCTGAGATATGAACTCACATATCTTATCATCACACTGTCGTCACATATAATATGTGAGTGCAGGGTGGCCCTCCAACAATTTTCTTTACCTCACCTGTTCATAAGTCTTAAGACCAATGACCCCTCCATCAACCACTCCCACTCAGTTATTTTAATCCAATTTACCCCACAAAAAAGCTTTTGCTTTTCTCGCCTTAATCCACCTAGTAAGTGACCATTAATTCCATCTTTCTTCTATTTTCCACATAACTCCATTAATAATACACCAAATCCATCATGTTAGTCCACAGTTTTGTCACTATAGATCACATAATTGAAGTTTCTAACCAGCTTATTACATTACAAAAACACTAACCCCACTATGCTATTCCATTGTTTTGTATTGCCATAGCATAGTGATTAGACTTCTTCACTTGCTGACATATACTGCATTAGATCAGTATCTTTGACAACCAACATATATATATTATCTTGAGGCATGGAGCTGTGCAAATTCAGTGTAACAGTTATTTTGTTGTGTTTAATGGAGAATGATTATCTGTGTGCACGGCAATTGTTTTAGCAAAAAGATATCCATGTTTCCTCTTCACATCTATTAATGTAAAAGGTGTTTTTAAATTCTCTAACAACAATGCGTTGCAATCATTGTTTGGGTGAATATATCCAATACCGCTTTTATGAAGATCTTCATGTTTCCTTTTTTCACATAGTTTAATTTTACTGTCAATATTAACGATCTTTTTTTTAATTATAATTCCTATTTTAACATTTTCATAAAATAAGCGTCAATCAGAGTTTTATGGAATTAAAAAAAAAAAACAAAAACTGGTTTCATATTATAAAATATCATCAGATATGTTTATAATGTTTGAAAAAAATTGGTTTCAGAAAATATAATTTTTAATATTGAAAAAGAAATCTAAATCCCATGGTGCATAATTTCGGGTTTCTTCTTCCCTCCGTTTGAGTTGGTTACTTCATTGATATGACATGAATCATTCATTGGAAGTTACAAAAACAACCAACCCACCAATAAATCAAAGTTTATTTTAAGATAAAAAGGAATGGTTTGATTACCATTTTTAAAAATAGTTTTTAGTTTTTTAATTTTTAAAAATAAATAATTTATTAACTCTTTTTTAAATTAAAAAATTAAAAATAATAAAAAATTGTTATAATTTTCTATTTCATATTTATTATTCTAAAATTATTAAAATTAATTTTTAACTTTTACCACGACTTTTTATGTTATAATTTTCATTTTTTTATTTAAAATAGTTTTTAAGAATTAAAGTTATCAGTTTTTATAATTTATTTTCAAAAATATTTTTTAAAATTATTCATTAAAATCTTTTTTAAAAACTAAAAAAAAAGTAAACCAATCAAACTTTTACACGCAAGTGTTCCGTTATATATTTTATTTCAATGCATTTTCATATTTTTAAAATACTCTTAAAAAAATCTGAAACACGGATATAAATTTAGTACATGCTTAGGTTTCTGTCCAAATTTCAATACACTACTGATAAAACTGTTTTTTTTTTTTTACAAACATAATTTTGAAATCAAATAAAGTTTACTCAAACATAATTTTAACCAATAAGAAAAAGTAAACCATACAAACTAAAAATTAGAAATTATAAGAGAAAACAGAAAATATTGAGAAATGAAATATATATATATATATATATATATATATATATATATATATATATATATATATATATATATATATATATATATATATCGATGGATACAAAACTGACAAAAGATTGTCTGAGACAAGCTTCCGGAGGCCCTCCTGTGGACAGAAGATAGAAGACAGAAACTTCCATCAGAAAAGTTCCACGAAATGATGCACCAAAAGAAGTAAAAGAATGAACAAATACATGATAATGATGCCAAGTTTCGTACAACACTGCCTCGAAGAGAAGAATAACAAAATCAGCAAATAATAAATGGGCCTTTTGGTAACTTCATACCCTTCCCTTTCATGTAAAATCCATCCTCACCACAGTACTTGTACTTAATTATCTACTATAAATTGATTACACTCTATCTCATCCACACCATCAGAAACAAAAATCCAGTTTCAAAACAAGTTAGCAACTTTGTATAAAAGTAGTGAAGAGAATGAAGTCAAGGATGAGTGAATCAGGAGAAGGTGGTTTAAATAACTTGAGTTCTCCCATACCCTACCTCTTTGGTGGCTTAGCCCTCATGCTTGCAGTCATAGCTGTTGCATTACTCATGATAGCTTGTTCTTATCGTAAAAACTATTATGTTTCAAACTCTGCAAGTGATGAAGAGAAACCACCCAAGATGGTGGAAGAGGAGGTGGATGTTTCAGAGCCAAAGATTGTTGTGATCATGGCCGGGGAAAGCAACCCCACTTATTTGGCCAAGCCAGTCCCTTCCATAAGCCATGACGAACCAGTTATTTGAAAGTAAACTGAGTGTCCGAATCTGAATACTGCAGAAAAAAAGAAAAAGAAAAATTACATATATCTTGTTAGAAATTTTCTTGTTCTGCGGTTTTATTTTATTTCTTTAACGAATACAACTACATTTTTATAGATCTTTAAACTCTGTTGCATGAATCTGCGAGATGTAAATCGAAGAAAATGAAATGTTGATCTTAATTTCATATAAAGCATGTATTTTCGTCTTAGATCATGGCGACTTTGGATCAAGGAAATTGCATTTAGTCCTCATGGAGTTGGAAAATGAGTATTTTAGAAAGAAGAGGAAGAAGCAAATCTAGTTTTCAGTTCAAAGTTAAACAATTTCATGACGCAAACCCGTCGTTTGAAATCAGTCTCCAGAACAGAGAAGAGTAGATGAAAGTAAGGAACAAGTTTCTATGCATTCTTTGTCGTTTAGTTTTCAAATTCAATGAATTTTTCGGTTAAAGTTAAGATATATTAATAACTCAATTAAACCTCTTTATTATTTATGCACAAACTTTAATAATAAAGAATAAATTTTTATAATATAATATAATTATTTTTTTTCTTTATTTATTCTTTATTATTTTTTTTAGTATTTTTTTTCTTTCTTCATCTTCTATTCTTTTATAATTATAAGAATCACAATCGGATATTCTTTTATTATTATAAGAATCAGAATCGGACAGGTATTATCCTCGACCTCATTAACCGTCTCCATTGTCGATTCTCGAAATTGAAAATTAAGTTTTTATCTTCATTTTCATTATATATTTTTTATTTTATATTATTTTTAAAAAATAATTTTTATACAAAATAAATATTTATTATTTAATAAATTTTAATTTATTATATTTATATTAAAATATATAGATAAATGAAAGTTTTAATTATTTTTGTTTATATAAATATAAAATATTTATAATAATAATAATAATAATATTATTATTATTATTAAACATTTTATTATATATATATATTAACTATTTTTTAAGTTGTTATTTTAAAATATATAATTTATAAGAAAATATTTTATAAATTAATATATAATTAATTATTATTATTTTTTTAATCTTCAAAATATAATTAAAATTTAATATATAATAATAAAAATAATAAAATAAAACTTATGAATAAAAAATAAAATAATGTTAATTACATGTACAATATTTAAAAAAATATAAAGAAAAAAATTAACTATGTATTTTTCAAATTAGTTGATAAGATTGAAAAAAATCATTTACTACAAAATTAGAAAAAAATGTGTAAAAATAAAAGATAAGATAAAGATATTAATGTAGTAAATTGATTTATTTATGAGATTGAAAATGATAAAAGAGTTAAAAGTAAGTAAAAAAAAGGTGAAATATAAAAAAATAATTTTATATAATATGAAAAAGAAAAATAATATTAAAATTTTAATATTTAAATTTAAATATAAAGTTAGAATGTAAACAAAAATAGGGATGGGTTAGGTGAGAATTATATTATTCATCCTCATTTATGTCCTAATTTTATAGAATGAAAAAAAACTCCAATCTACTCTTATTATTAACTCATTTTTTTTCCATCAAACTCAAAATGAAGACAAATTAATCATCGTAAATGAACATAATGGTCATCTACGTCTCATTCTTTTAATTAAAAATTAACAAAATGTGTCTTTTATTATTTCTAAAAAATAAAAAAATATTTAAAGTATCCAAAAAATACTATAATTTCATATATTATATTTTAAAAAATATTATATTATAAAGTTGAAGTATTAAAAATTATTACGTTATAAATATTAAAGAAAAATTAAATATTATTTTAAAGAAAATTTTTAATAAATATTATTTTTAAAATCATTCATGACTAATTTTCACTATTAAACATAATTATAATTAGATTAAATTATTAAATAAAAAATATATTTAATATATTAACCTTCACAACTCAACTTATCTAATATATATCGGTTAAATGAGTAGTTGACTTATTATGATAAAATAATTTAAAATTATTTATTTATACTAGTGTAAATAAAATTATTTATAATCATAGATAAAATTATTTATTATTATCATAATTTTATATAATTAGTTGATATATTTTAATTTTAATATTAATTTTTAAAAATTTATATTAATATAATTTTATTAAATTTCAATTCAGGAGTTTTAATTAAAAAAATAAATGAAAAAGGAGACAGAAAATAAGAGACAGAAATTCACTGACAAGAGAAAAAAAATATGAGAAGAGAAAATATAAAAAATAAACTAGTTAACTTGGATAAATAAATAAAATAAGAATTTTAATGGATTAATTTTTTTTTAAAGATATTATTTATAAGATTGATTTATCTTATTTTATTATTTTTTATAAATGAAAAATAAAATTTTATAACTGTGTATTGGTGTTTGAAAAATTTCCCTATCACAAATTACATTTGGTGGACAACTTTTCCCCTTTCTGTTTGAAAATTTGAACCCCAGGTGAAGTACACCAACTTATTGAGTTACATATATTTTGATTGAATATTAATTAAATTCATACTTATCTCTGTGAATATTAATTATATACTGTGTAGTATTGATTATATAATATTATTTACACATTATATTTAATAAATAATATTTTATTAACAAATATTCATATTATGTATATAAAAATCCAACAAATTCATATATATATATATATATATATTATAAAATTAAATTTCTTCTATAAATATTTTCTTGAATATAAAAAGAGGGGACAAATTTTTCATTATTATTCTCAATAAAATTGGCACAATAAAATATCAAATTTAAAAATACAATTTATATGAACAAGTCAATTAAATAAAAACTTGTTAGAAAACTAATTCGAATATTATGAAAATATTTTAATTTTATTTTAAAATAATTTTATTTATTATTCTAAAAAAATAATGCTTAAATTATATTATGCTGAGTTGGAGTATCACGTGATATTCATTTATATTTAATTTGATGCGTAACGTAATTGACTTTGTATAATTAGTATAATTAGATGTTTATGAATATCATTATTATTTATTAATATATAATTAGTTAGGTTATAATTATTTAAGTTTCGTTTGTTATATTAATAAAAAAAAGTTATTTTTCATTATAAGGTATATGTTTTACTTTTTACTTATTATATACATGAAAAAAAGAGAGTAAGAAACTTATACGAAATATTATTTTATTAAATTATTTTTCTTTATATAAATGATTATTTATGATTCATAATTTTAATTAATTAATATATATACACTTTTAATTATTATGTTTTTTTATGTAGTTTTAGTTGTATTGATTAATTGAAAAACCTTTTTAATAACTTAAATGATTTTTTTTATAATAATATGAAAACTCTTATAGAATAATTATACTATGTGAAAAAAATGTGGCCATTCTTAACTATTTTTAAGAAGAATTGATAAAATAACAAAAATATTATTTTTACAAATTTTTAATTTACAAATTCATAATAATATTTGCAGTCTTTGGACGTTTAGACTTCACAAAATAATTTTATTAATTACTTTTATTTTTAAAAAATTCATGAACATCTATAAATATTAAAAAAACTTACAGATAATATTAAAATGGATATATTTTGAAATAATGGATAAATTTTATTCGATTGATAAAAAAACTTTCATCATTATATTTTCTTCGTCATTTTATTCATATTTTTTTAATAATTTAATTACATAAAATTTATTTAATATTATTATCTAAACATTTAAAAATTATTTATTTTATTAATTATAAATATTAAAATAAAATTTTTAATAATTAAAGATTCTAAAAAATTAACTGAAATTATTAATTGATTCACAATTATAAAAAAAAAATTGTAATTGAACGTTTAATAAAAAAATAATAAATTTATATATTTTTTATTTTAACAAAATCAGGGATAACATGATATATACATAGTCCCTTAATCCCTTAACGAAAAGTTAAGGACTCCACGAATATCCAACCAACTTAATTTCAAATAAACATACAACTTTCATCTTTCAACAAAGATATGCTTCCCATTACATTGTAACAAAAAATATTTTATAAACATTTTCAATTTTCCTACTATTGTTACAATTTTTTTTTCTTTTGCCGATATTGAAAAAAAAAACTAGTCTTGTTTTACATCTTTACTTTTTTAAATAATAGGAAAACAGATTCTAGAACAATTGTTAAATAAGTTAATGAATTAATTTAAAAAAAAAATCAGAGTATTGGTCCGTTTCACGTTGAATGGAAGTGGAAAGAAGTCTAAGGGAAAACAGTGAAACTCCATACACATTATATTATTTTTTATTTTTTATAGTGGGAGACAAGTGATATGAAGTGCACTTGTGACTGCTACTTAATTAGGATTGGTTTCACATTTTTCTTCTTTAATCTTTTTAAGATGGATGTTTAAACAATTATTGTAGAAATATAATGAGATTTGTTTAACCAAACATGAAATTAATGTTTTAAAAGAAGAAAAAAGCAAATGAAAAACATGAGATTGGTCCAGCCAGATTTATTATTTTATTAAAAATTGTCTCATTCCCTACAAACAATGTCACAAGTGCAGAGACGTTGATTGTTCTTGAGATTATTACAACCGCAATGCATAGGCATGGCACTTGCTCCAAGTCTTGACAGAAATTCTTCAAAGCAGCTTCTTCCCGAACTCCCCAGTGAACATTGCCCTTCAAATGTCATATCTTTAGGGCAAAAACGGATTTCCCCTGTTCATCACAACAACATTGAATATCATCATCACAATTATATTTTATAAGAATGGCAAGAACAAAAGGTACGATGAATCATGAAAATTGTTGTACCATAAGTTTGGGTGAAGATGGCAAACAAAGCCAACACAATAAAGAGACTGGTTTGTAACTTGGTCATCGTATTGGCTTCTTCTCGATTTTCTCTGCTGTAACTCTTTTGAAATGATTTGACAATGTTGCATCCAAGTGAAGGTTTATATATACGCGTGAGCTTTGTTCTGAAACTGAGGTTTTAGTGGGGCAGGGTTAACATGTTAGTTACTTTCTAAACAAATATAGCAGTTACTTCAAAATCATGTATTTCATGCCACCTTTTGATTCATCAAATAATCTATAATTATAAAATACTACAATTTTAAAAATTCAGTCTCACTTCTCACGTTCACAACGTAACGTAATTATTAAAATAATTTGGGTTATGTGCTCTTTAATCTGTAACATAATTTCACCCTTTTACTTTTTAAAATATCATTATGCCATCTCCACACATTCACGTGACATATATATATCAACGCATGATTCACTGTGTAAATATTAATTTAAAAATCTTAATATTGTTAGAGCTTTTTTATTAATGGTTTATTATGATTTTACAATAATTTTTATTGAAAAAATTCAAAATTTTAGCAGATGATTATGTATATTAAAGGTTTTGTAGCATAATATACATTGGATGTTTTCTATTTCTTTATAATAAATATTATTATTGTGCTTAATTTTTTTTATTGAAGTCATTTTGAATTAAATCATTCAAATATGCTTAATAATCTATTGTAAGTTTCTATTTTTTTTACCATAAATACTATTATAACGTGCATAATTTAATATTTTACTAAGAATATAACTTTGATCCAATAAAATCAGATTGTTAAAATCTCATTATACGTACAATATAGTATTATGTACCTTTAATTTCTAATTGTAAAAAATTATTTATATACTTAGTAATTATATATACTGTAAAACTGTAACAGTTTCTTATAGTTTTTGTTAATATTTTATTATGATTTTATGTAAATTGTGAAACTGTATATATATAATCTATTTTTACCTGTTTTTTTATCCCAATAAAATCACTTTTATCTTTTACTTTCAGCACTAAAAAATTATGTTCACCTGCATAAAATGTTTTATCATATAAAATATGAAACGTTACATGATTTATTTTTATTATTTGTTGTTTATCAATAATCATTATTGTTTATAGTTTGTTGTTTATTGACTATCATTTTTCTTTACAGTTTATTATTTATTGTTTCCTCTTTTTTTTGTATAACTGTTACCGTTTTAGTTTTTCTTTTCTAATTTCAAATTGACTGAAAGTTGGTAACTTTGTATAAAAAAAAGTATATTAATATCAAATAAATATAGTTTTTTTTTTTCGTATTTCATCACCAAATTACTCTTTGTTTGAATAAAAGTGATGCATTTCTTAAGAAAGTTAATTATTTAAGAAAAATGATTTTAGCATGTGTTATATATTATATATACATGTGTGTGTGTGTGTGTGTGTGATTTTTTAAAATAAATTTTCATGTTTCTTTGAGGCATAAAGAGAAATATAAAATAATTGAAAATAAGAAAAATGTCATTTCAGAACCTCTTTATATGCTGGGATGGAGGGAATATAATTTATTGTTTATAATTTAATTTTATAATTTATTGTTTATCATTTATGATTTATTGTTTATCATTATTATTTATCATTAAACAACATTGTTTATCATTTATTGTCTATTCTATCCCATAATTAATTATTTTAAAATTAATGACTGGGTCTGTCTTAATAAAATTAATTTATTTAACTGAAGAGATTAGTTTGGTAAATGTTTTTACTACTATTTATCATTAGCTATAAGAATTGGGTTTCTCAAAATTCGGAAAATGAATATTGAAAAACATAAGAGTGGTGGAGAGTTGTTATTATTTTATGGAGAAGTGTGGCAGTCGTCAGAAACAATATTACAAATGCATCGACGTTGATTCTGGTGAAGATTATGACAAGTGCAGTTGGTAGGCATGGCACTATCTCCTACTTTTTCACTGAATTCTTTGGAGCAGTTTTTCCCTGAAGTTCCCCATGACATTGCCCTTCAAGTGCCATATCTTTTGGGCAAGAATCGATTTCCCCTGTTAATCACAAAACAAAAACTAACATCATCACCATCATCATAATTCAATTTACTACTTCAAGAATATCAAATTCTCATAAAAATATATCACAGTTGTACCATAAGTTTGGGTGAAGAGGGTAAACAAAGCCAACACAATAATAAGGACACTGTTTTGTAACTTCATCACCATTTTAACTTTTTTTTTTGAATGATTTCACATTGTTGCATCCAAATGAAGGTTTATATGCGTTAGTGCATAACGTACTGAAACTATTGAGGTCTTACTGGGGGAGGGTTAACTTGTTCATCACTTTCCATTCAAGATATCATCTAACTGTTTCATTCATCATGTAACTGTTTAAATTAAACTATTGAGGTGTCACTGGGTCAGGGTTAACTTGTTCATTACTTTTTTTTTTCATTATTTATATATAAAGTAATTTTTTTTATATTTTACTATTATTATTTTTCTTCTACTAAGTTTTTAATTTTTTTATCTTTTTTAATCTTTTATATCAATTAGTTCATTATATTATTCTTTTTTTTATTTTTCACATTTTCTTAATCTTTCTAATTAATGTTTTTTTTAATATTTTCAACCAATTTGATGAACACAAAATTAACTTTTCTTATTCTTTATTTTTTTTATAAATATTTTACATAAAAAGTAACTAATATTATTTTATTTATAATTTATCTTTATTATATTTTTGGGATCTTATTATTCTTATTTGTCATATATCAAATTTTATCTTAATAAAATAACTATATTTTAAAAGATTACAAAAATTGATAATTTAATTTTTTATTACTTTAAACGTATTATATAAGAACTAACTTATTAAATATTTTCTTATAAACTATATATCTCACATTTTTAAATAACAACTTAAACATGAATTAACTTTTATATTCAAACGTTTGAATACAATATAATAATAATAATAATAATAATAATAATGTTATAAGTATTTTACATCTGTATAAAGAAAAAATAATTAAATGTTTATTTTATATACATATTTTAATATAAATATAATAAATTAAAATATATTTTTAATTAATAAAAATTACAAATTATAAAATTATTAATATTTATTTGTATAAAAAATATATAAAAATAGGAAAATTAATTTATTATAAATATATATATTTTTTAAATAATGTAGATCAGGGATGAGATGAGACCGGAGAAACCTGAAACCCAATGGGAACGGGGATGAAGACTTAATTTTTAATCTCGACATGGATAGAGGATGGAGGCGGGATAAGTTAAATACAATAATAATAATAATAATAATAATAATAATAATAATAATAATAATAATAATAATAATAATAATGTTATAAGTATTTTAAATAATGTAGATAGGGATGGGAGGGGGTCGGAGAAACCTGAAATCTAATGAAAATGATAATAAAGACTTAATTTTTAATCTCGACGGAAATTGATGATAAGGGCGGAGACGAATAAAAAAGTTAGGACAAGAATTGGTGAGGAAAAATCCAACCCTTGTGCGTTGCCATGCCTACATCTCATTCTTAAATTAAAAATAGTATATTAAAATTTGATAACGTGAGTATTTTGTTATTATTAAAAAATAAAAATATTTAAATGATTCAAAAATACTATAATTTAATATATTATATAAGAAAAAACATTATATAATAAATATGAGATGTTATAAATATTATTGTTATTTTATAATTATTAAAAAATAATTTAAAGTATTTTTTAATGAATATTTTTTTTAAACTACATAATCTAACTAATTAACATAATTCAGCCTAATTATAACTCAACTAAACTATTAAATAAAAATACATTTAAATTATAAATATTTGATATTTTTTAATTTGATGAGTAATTATTTATTATGATAAAATATTTTTAAATTAATTCCTTATGTCATCGTAGATAAGTTTATTTACTGTTAAAATAAATAAAATAATTTATTATCATTATAATTTTAAATATTTTATTAATATTTTTTTAGTTTTAATTTGTTTTAACTTATTTTTATGAAATTTTAATATAATAATTTAATTAAGAAAATAAATCTTTGGTTGATCTATTGAAAAGAAATTTTCACCACCTTCAAATTGTTCTTTTTGCATTTAACATTCTCGTACAAGTTTGACCCAATAAATAATTACTAATTGTAAAGACTTTAAATATTTAGTTTTTTTTTTAAAATTGAACTATTAATTAATTTTTTTATTAAAAATAATAAATAAGATTTTATGGTAAACAATCGTATGTTATATATATATATATATATATATATATATATATATAACTTTCCGTAAAATAGTATAAAAAATATGTGTGAAAGACATTTTAATTTATTTTAATATGTCACAATAATGCAGATACATATTTTTAAAAAGTTAAAATATATTTAAAGTTCGGAAATACGATTGTGACCAAACAAAGCATTGCAACGTAGCACAAGAAATGAAAACTCTGCCACTATTCAACATGTTTAGGTCAAGGATATTAATGACTTATAAGAAGAAAATTTAGGGTTCGCATAAGACTTTGATAGAAAATGATTTGTTTGACGTGGAAATGAAAATGAAAACTTTTTATTTTCTAGGAGAAAAAGTTTATGAATAATGGAAAGTTTTGGTGGGAAAGAATAATTTTGACCCTAAACTTAGAAGCAATGGATAAGAGGTGAAAGTATTCGACCTACCAATGTGTCTGAATTTGGTACATGACACACAATCACAACAATCTATCAATATTTAACCAAATCACATGGACATGAGTTCAGGAATATAACTAATGTTTATCATGTGTTCCCACTAGCTACCCATAATAACTTTATATATATGTAAATAATAATAGTAAAAAAAAATGTCTCCTTGTTAATTTCCCACTTCCACAAAATTAAACGTGCAATAAATATATGTAATTTTATGAGATTAATATGTATATATATTTTTATTTTTAAATAATTAATCTGTCTAAACAACTCTTCAAAAAGATATTTTAGATCCGGAATTAAAATATATTATTTTAAATAATTAATAGGACAAATATAACAAAAAAGACTCTATAAAAGGGTTATGATTGAAAGTTAGAAATTTTGTTAAACATAAAGCAAGAAGAAACACTTTAAATTTAATAAGGAAAAGTCAACTGCATTATTCTTGATTTTCACATTGATAATGACTTTGCTGCTGTCATTTCCATCAGGTCATCATGGCTTTTGTCATAGTTATTGTTACCATTGAAACTTGGTGTGCTACTAAATTATATAAAATTTAACATAATTAATATTTTCAATTTGTACATTTTATAATTTATTATTACATTTTTCTTTTATTTCACACAATAAAGGCCTGTTTAAATTAGCAACTTTACAAATAATAATTAAATACAAAATAAAGTGTTATTATAAAAAAAGCAATATAAGAAATGATAAATAAAATAACTTGATGACTATAGGTTTCGAATAATCATAAATTTTCTGAAAAAAAAAAAAACTTAACTTAAGTCAGTATTTGTTAATAATTATAATCAAATATATGATAATCTGAATACATAAAACTAAAAATACCGAAAAACTATTAAACCTATTTTCTGCAATAAATATAATATTAACTTATATATATATAATCAGTCAAATATATCTAATCAATATTTTATTTAAATAAAATTTTAATAAATATTTGTATAGAAGAATAAATGAGATGCTACATTAAATTAATTTTACAAAATTGAGATACATAAGTTATTCATAGTTTATATTTTTTTCTATTAATATTCATGAATAAGTTTTTCTATATACAACCTAAACTAGGTTCAGTGTAAGAAGAAATTATCAACCTATTGTACAAACTTTAGTTTATCTGAAATAAATTTAACATTAAAAATATTAGAATATCAATATTCAAATTTCATAAATGAGTTCATCACCAACCTATAGTTTATTCATAGTTAATAAGATTTTAATTTTTTTTTCAACCTAATTCATGATGAATCTAATTAACTCAAATAGTAAAACTCATGTTGTGACTTCCAATTAAATAAATTTAATATTATATTTAATCTAAAACTTTTAGGTTTATAAATTTCCACACGTTTATTTACTGTTTAATAAAATGAGACTTTACTCCAACCATTCAAACTCAACCACCCAACAAAGGATCAACTATGTTATCAGAAATTTTAGTGTGATAAGAAAATTTTCATTTAAACCACAAAGCAACAAGGCCAACACTAAACTTAGTCAAAATTTGAAGTTACAAGTGGTGTCGCTTTTAGATTACTAAACTTATAATTATTTTTTATCAATGAAACTGTCATTTACAGTAATATCCCACAATCATATTTCTTTAATAAATGATAATATAAGCTAATAACATTATTTAAATTAATAATTAATCTTCTATTTCTACGCTTCTTCTATATCCAAGATAATCCATATGCACGTAAAACTAGCTCAAAAAGTTTGTGATTAATCAACAACACTCCTAATTAACCATTTATGTAATGTAATCCATGTTCTATGAGACGTAGAAAAACAAATGAGTTTTGTCCAATTTGGTTTCTGTGGGTTGGTTGGTGGACGCGACAAATGGGGAACGTAAAAAATTACTTTTGTTGTTTTTTTTTTAATACAATGATGAAGCATTAATGAAGTGGACGCAGTGGGAACCAGATTTTCTTCACCCTTTCTTCAAGAATTATGAGGATAAAATATTTTCCCACTAATGCTGTGGGTTTCGAAAGAAAACTTTGATAGCTTTATTATTTAATTTGGAAGTAGTTGTGTTACAAAAAATAATTAACTAATTATTTTAAATTTTGCAATTCATGAAACTCATTTAGAAGAATATATATATTAACAATTTTTTATGAATTTTTTTTTTTATTATTTGAAATTGGATTGTCCACTAGAAGGAACCCTTTATTTAAATGTAGACTTTAGAGGTTGAAATGGTAGGTAAAGCCTTAAGCATATAACGTCATCTCTAATATTCTTCATCAACAAAACCTAAATTTTAGAGAAAGTAAAAGTGACCAAAAATCCAAATTATGAAGGGAATAGAGATGGCAAGTATCTAATTCCCGCACCTTCTTTCATCTAACGAAGGTGACATTTTATATCAAAGAACCATTCATGGCAATACTTTAAAGCATTAATTGGAAATAGGTTACTTTATTTCATCATTTTGATTTGCATAAAATGCAAATACCTTACTTTATTTCACCATCAAGAATCACATGGTTCCTATGTTTAAAGTTGATAATGGAATACTTCTCACGATAATGAAAATTCAGTGAAGAAGCAAGAGAGGGTAGTTATTACAACTCCGACTACATTCTGGCCCTTGTTTTTACCAAATTCATGAAGGTTTCTTGTTTTTTTTTTTCGATTTTTTCATTTTTCGCATCATTATTAGCCACACAAACATTCACCATCAGTTCAAGAGGATGTTCTGTTTACGTCAACTTTGTAACTAGCGTTGCAAGCTTCTGTCATGGTCGAGTCGACAGAATATCAATGATTTAGACTAGGTTTGGATTAAAATCTGAAAACGAATTTTAGTACATAAAATGAAAAAAATAAAAAATAAATATATATATTACCCATAAAAGTTCATTTACCTTTGTTTACTCCTTAGACCTTATCATGATTCGTGACCCACGCAGAAGCCTCTTCACATGAGGATTTTCTCATGCCTCTAACCTTATTTTGGCTAGAGAAGCTACTGTCTTTGCATTCTTTACCGTTTAGAGCAAAAAAATTGGCTTGCATGTGAGTTGGTAAAGACAATACATTATTTTGGTATTGCTTTTGCAAAATTCCTTCTTTCTGTTTTTTTTTTCTTTAATTTTCTTGAACTCGTTTAACTATATAAATGAAGTGATATATAAATATAATTCACATTATGATACATTTTCAAGACGAAAGAAACATGAACCAAAAATTTTCAAAACAAGTTTGAAAGTGACAGTCTTTGTGGGGGCACCAAAGTTTGACATGAGGCAATAAAACACTGTTAATTTTGAAAAAAACAGAGGAACAGTAATATACAATCTTAGTACTTATCCCGTAATATCACGCACTTGAAATCCCAAACCAACAATGGAATCATTTCACCCCTCACATCATCTCCATGAAGCATCTAGCCAAGCACATAAGGAATCTTCCTCAATGCCAAAAAGGGTACTTTTGTAAATCCAAATGTGTCATTTGTGCTATAAATTTCAGAACCTCCACCTCACATCATTTCACTGCCATCCAGAGAGAGAAAGAGATAGAGAGTAACAGAGAGAGAGAGAGAGATGAGGCCAATAGCCAGTGTATCATCATCACCAATGAGTAACACTGGGATTAAAATATGGAAGTCACCAATTCCTTATTTGTTTGGAGGGTTAGCAGTAATGCTGGCTCTCATATCTGTGGCATTGGTGATCCTTGTTTGCTCCTACAGAAAACGTGATTCTTCTTCTGAGTCGTCATCATCATCATCATCATCACCTGAAGCTGAAGAAATGAAATCACAGGCAATGACCAAGATCAGAGACGCAAACTCAGAGCCCGAGGTTCTTGTCATAATGGCTGGCGATCACAATCCCACCTTCCTTGCCAAACCAATAATTTCTTCTTCAGTCTACTGCACTTGTGGTGCTCAAGCTGAACCTGAACCTCAACCCCAACCAACTACTTCATCCACTGAGTGAAGGCTAACCGATTAAATAACACACACCCCAGTATCAACAAAGTTTTGCTCCACACTCTAGGCACTTCTCTTCCTTTTCAATTTTCATGTTCCAGTGGTTTTGTGAGAGCACGGAACGTGATCACTGAAGATGAGTGTTTCTTTTTGAGAATTTTGGTTTTTCATAATGAAGGATCCCCCGGCTTGTTAGACTTTATATTGATACATATATTTTGCTACTGATTGTGCTTTTCATTTTCTTTTCTTGCCCATCCAAAATATATCACTGTAAGGTTTTAAAAAGGAAGTACGTGACCATGATTTCACCACAACGTCAAAGTATTTAGGGTGTTGAATGAAACCGTGACTATAATTTAAAACCTTGCATACTGGTTAGTGATGAAATTAATGCTGAAACTCGTCTCCATAGCTTAAGCATATACACAGCATTGAAGGCAAGTGAAAACTGAATAGTGAAAACAAGAAACCAAAACAACCTCACACAGAGGAAAAAAACAAAATTTTTGCCATATTCTTTTTCTAATGCTATCTTGAAATCATGCATGGGAATTGCATTCGGTTAAGCACAGTCCGTGAGTTAAAAAAAGAGAGGGTATATTGGCATGTCACTTAACACAAAAGAAATCGTTTTATCAGTGAGCCAAACTTTCTTTCTTTCTCTCCACCTTTTTTTTTGTGTGTTTCGATGTAGCATATGATTCTATTTGTTTCTGAGTTAAAGTTTTCAGAAGAGGACGGGGGATGCCATGAAACGCAGAAGTGTGTATAGTTGGAGTCAAAAGCCAGAAGGATTAAAGTGGGGCATCACCAACATAACAGCCAAATACAAACAATGTTTAGTGCTCTTTTATTAAAATCAACATTCCAAATATAATATCTAGAGAGATAAAAAGGGAGAATAACTTTTTTCTGGGTTAATGTTATAATCAAGTATTCTTCTCCTAAGATGATTTACTTCATACTAGACACCACTATGAATCTAACCCTAAACTACAACATGTTACAAAGTTTGTTTTCGTAAGTTGAAAAATATGATAATGTGGGTATATAATAGTTTGTCCAATTAAGGGATATATGAATTGAATGGTGATGAAATAATGGAGGGTAGCAGTGAAGTCCGAAAAGCCATCAAAGTGAGATAGGAAAGTGGTGCATAGGATAACACAGCATCTAGGCATGTGGAAGTGGAGCCCTTTTGTTTTTTAACCAACGTGGCCTTCACTTTGTAGGAGCCACAAAGATTTGGTGTTACTCTTCTAAAGTTTTCAAGCAGCGGCGAAACGCACTTGTTTTTATTCACCTTTTTTCCTCTTCTTTGCAAAGTGCTTCGTTTGGTATCTATTTTTTAGGTTGCCAAACGCGGCGGCTTGGAATTGGCAACAGTGGAAAATGAGTCAATGGAATGTCCACAACTTGAAAACTTCAAACAAATACAAACCCTTTAAACTGTGGTCGCAGGACATGGTAACAGCAAAAGTTTCAACATTTGAGATGTGATATAAGTGTGAAAAGGAAAAGAAAAATAAAAATACTAACTTCACCCCATTTTGGGTGGATTTGAGTGATGGAAGAAAAAGATGAGAGGAAAAACAAGATGATATTCAAATAGGATAAGTGATATTCAATAATAATAAAATAAAAGTTATTATTTTGATCCCTTGGTTATTTAAACTCAGTTTCCATTGTCTTTCTTCTAGGATTCCATAGTTTTTTATTCTTTCCTCTATCCAAACAAAAACAAAAGAAGGAAGAATATATTTTGTTTTTATGTTTTTCTGTTCGTTCATGTTCCATCCATCGATATTCCAGTATTCCAAACTAATCATAAAACTAAAAGAGGAAAAACAATATGCAGGAAGATTTTAGTGAGTTTACAGTAAATAGAGAATTTAGTGATATTGCTTGAAGATGCTCATGAGGGTTGAAATTGGGGAGGATAGATAAGTGTTATCCACAAATATTCATTCATGCACAGTGAGATAACAATTACTCAGTTTCTGGCATGTGTCACTATTTTATGAATCCTATAATTTCTCTTCACATTTCTTCTCTGGTTTTTTTACATGTGTTAATTTTTGCTTTTAACTCCTTCACCACTTTGCTACGAGGATATTCCAGGGAAACTGTGGTGGATTGGCAAGGTTAGAGGGTTCGACACCTCTCATGTCTCACTCACCAAACATGGAGACACCTCTCAAGTCTTATCAAGGTACAGGTGGTGGTTGTGCGGAAGCATAGCAGAAGATTTAAAAAGGAAAGGAGAGAGACATGTAAACATATCGAAAAATGAAAAAGAAATTGTCAAGAATGGGATTCGAACCCATGCCCTTTCGGACCAGTACCTGAAACTGGCGCCTTAGACCAACTCGGCCATCTTGACCTTTGATGTTGTAACTCAGTAAAATAATATTTATTTATATACATATAAATCCTAAGCTGCTTTGACAACTTCACTTGTTCAAAAATAAAATTAGGGCAAGATTGATGGGTATAATACTTTGTCATTACCTTTTTTCTTTGGATCCAGTTTTGGACGTATAGGAGAAAATTTGAGGTCTTACTACTTTCTTGGGTGATAATATTATATGGCCTCTATTTTTATCTTGTATAACATGTAGTTATATATTTTAATTTATATGAAAAAATTATTAGATGGTATATAATTATCACCTATTTAGGTCTCAACTAATATTTATATGAGATATATTTAAATTTAAATTTATAAACAAATTATGTCAGGTGTATGGTTTAGGATCATTTAATAATTTATACTACATTAATGGACAAATATGTTCTTCTTTGGGTTCATATTCTGTTGTTGCATGCTAGATCAGAATTCAGACCTGTACTTATTTTCTATTTGGGCTAAAATGTTTATCTTTGATGACAAGATTTTTTTCTCTTTGGCCCATCATGAGTAGAGTTTTTTATGTTTTCTTGAAGGACTTCAAAATGTGTCTTTCCTCAAAATGGATATATTTAAGCAAATAAATTTACCAAAATGTTTACAGGTCACACAACCATTTTTCTTTAGCTAAACTAATTTTGATAAAAATATTTTGCAAACTAAAATACAAAACAAGATTAGATTTGATATATTTTTTTTCCTTTCCAAAAATCACAAAACATATCAGTTGTCTAGTTAAACATCTTTCTGCTATTTAATACATGTGAAATTACTTTAGCAGGTTTTAGTGGTGTTAAAATTAAGACTAGAGGGGTCAATTAATATTTAAAATATAAAAGGAGGTTTATGTGTCACACACACATGTTGTCAAACTTAGAATGCGATCCTTGAATCTTGTGATTCACTCATTTGTTATTTGATTATCAAAATTTACCAATAAAAGAACCAATTCCCCTCTCATAGTTAAGTCCATTAGTCCAAACTTAGTAGGTCTCTTGGTCTAACTTTGTGGTTAGCACGATCACATCACACCTAAACTAGTTTAGCCAACAACCCTTTACCAACAACGACCTGCCATCATATTATATTAAAGTTTAACTATGAATTTGCTAACTAATCAATGTTGATTAAAAAAGACTGGGCAGCTTCTCATTTCAAAGGATACCAATTTTTATACGAGATAAGAAAAATAAGATACTAACACAAACACACACACACACACCTTATAAAATCAATACATAGTTGATTAGTGAAAGTGAAACTGAATAAGATACTGACATGATAAGAAATACTGAAATGAGTAAAAAATAAAACACTCCATACTCATGAAATGATTATAGGAAAAAACACATGTTTTTGGGAGATAGATTGGCCTGTGTTCTACAGACAAGACAGAATTTGATGCAATGATGGATACATACAAAGTGAAAAGGGACTTAAAGCATATTCAAGGACAAGGATTTTACATTCCCTCCAGTTGTGCACATTGTGCTATTGGGACATCTGTATTATGCAATAAAAGTCAGAGTCCTATTTAAGATGGAAACGGCAGAGGTTAAAAAAATATTATTTATAGATACTTCTTATGACCAAAGATGACAGTCCCAACATTCCCTTTGTTTAATTGATGCTTTCAAATTATTTTAAGATGTATTAGGAACCTTCCTGGCTCCTCCTTGAATTTAAGCCCTTGGCACGCACACAGTGCATCTACCATTTCACTTCACAACCTTTTTGGCCCTTTACCAAACTTTTTGCAGCTGAAACAGATAAGCAGATATCGGGCTATCTATCTCTGGGTCTCTATTAATGTAAGTTCCATGTAGATTTCCATTTATCAGCCATAGATTCTCATTCTTTGTTCCCCTGTGTGTTTCCTTGCCAGTGTGTGTTGTTTTTGCTTTGAATTGGAATACATACAGCTTTCCTGCCTCAGAAATGGATTCTTTTAAACAAATCTGGGGTAGTGCAGAAGGATGTAGCAGTAGTGAATCTGGTTGGACTATGTATATTGCCTCTCCCATGCAGGAAGATGATGCTGGATGCAGCAATGAAAATGATGGATATCATGACATCTATGGTGATAACAGGAGAAAGAAGCAAGGGGCCAAAGTAGATGAAGAAGAAAGTGATGATTCAATGGCTTCAGATGCTTCTTCAGGTCCGGTTCATTATCACCATGCCTATGGTCACAACCAAACTAGTCATGGAACCGCGGCCTCTAAGAAAGATAAACAAGATCATGGAAGCAAGTGTTCTAAGAAGAATGCAAACAAACAGGAGAAGAAACGTGTTGACAACAGAAGTAAAAAATGATGAAAATGTCCATTGTATATGATGCTGGGATTTTTCTAACCATGCATCTTCATAATTTGAATTTGTTGATTTGTACTCACACCTCTCTTCTACCCAAAGGAAATATCTCAAAACATTCTTTGAAGCAATGGAATCATAAGTTTTATGCGTTTTGAAACTAAACTTCATGTTGACTGTTATTATTGTGGAAACTTCCAATAAATGCATGAGCCATGAGAAACACACGACAACTGTACTTGAATGTAAGCATTATCAATAGTATTCAAACCAAATGACACCAGATTTCCAGAAAAAGAATTTGTGGTTTTTACTTCCAAGTTCAAGGAGGAGGAATTCCAGAGAAGAGAGTAAAATATTTTATCGTGTAACTCCAACTTTAGGTATATTTTTTTACCTCAGTTTAAAATAGAAATTCATGCCAGATGTGAAGAGAAATGTCTGGTCATCCATCAAGACATCATCATTGATACAAAACTTAATTAAGGGTGAAAAGACATTTTAGTTGAAAAACATGAAATGTGAAATTTCCAAAACTGGATGATGAAGAAGTAAAACAGTAGAAAGTTAACTGCTGCAAGAATGTTTAATTGGAACCTGAAATTCTCTTAATGATAACGTAAGCAAAAGTTGTATTGAGCTGGTTGACAGAAGAAACAAGAAACATGGCACAAGAAAAGTGGCCTGGGGGCAGTTAGAGATGTGGCCAAAAGATTGAGGATAATAGCACAAAAGGGAGAAAGTATTTTCTATCAAAAAACTTCCAATAATGATTCGTGCATGCATGTGTCTGTGCTGCCAAATGCTATGCAGCACGAATGGGGTATGCTGCGCTGGAAAGAGGGTAAGGTTTCACATAGTTACACAAATGACAACTAGAAGCAATTAAAGCTTTGTTGCTGTGACAGGGCATTGGCTGGTTATGTGAACTAACTTTCCAAAGATTGGACACGAATGCAACAGCAAGGCAATCACAAGTTTTAGGCTGTATGAGTTACATAAAAACATGAGGGGGAACACATGACTTGAAAGGAATCATAAAAGGTCACATTCATATAAAACCAATATATATAAGATGAGAGATTCATTTTAAAATTAAAAATTAGAAACTTATATTATTAAATTACTAAAAAAAATGATGGAGATAAAAAAATTATTGGTTCTCATTTTTTTCTTTATAGAGAGTTCAGTTTTTTTTATTATGTAACTTTTTTCTTTTGTCCAGGTTTAAGCAAAGAAGGAAAGCAAAGGGAAGCGCATTGGTGAAAGATGTCGTGGTCTGTCCATCGGCCAGAAGTACTGATAAATTTTATAAAGTTAATGACTGCTACTTTAGATCTTCAATGGAAATTTTGGTGGCATCGTGATTTGGATCGCCACAATGCTCGTTGCTGTTTCCAATATATTGAATTATATAGTTTCCATGAGAGGTATGTACATATCAATCACCCTGAACTTTTTTTAAATACTCAATTGGTTTGTCACCACTTGCAATAGCGCTTTGTGATTTGAATAGATTCTTGCATATCAATTCATAGCAAGTGACGAATCAAAGATCCCATCAAATGCACACATGATTCAAACTCAACTTCCTTTTAGAGAGGTTATTATCAACAAGAATTGCAATACCTTAAATTCTAAATAACTAGTGTGACCAGAAATTATTTAGTGTAAAAGTTGCACATGAATTGTGCCAATCCCTGATTCAGCCAAGAAACATTAAAGGTTTTTCAATCATTGAGCTCATTATTGAAAACATCATTATGGGTTTCTCAATCATTGAGTCCATTATTGACTCGGAAGACTTCAAAGAAAATGAAACAAAAGCCAAGAAGCTGAACATCCTCAAAGAAAAGAAAACGTCAGAAAGAAAAATATGAGTTCACAGTTACTTCTGACCACTAGCTCAAATACAAGGAGTAGAGGAAAGTGGAAATGTAAAGCAAAGGCTAACTAACGTAGACTAATTAGAAGGAAAGTTAACTCACTCCTAGTAGTGTTTTAAAATATTAGTTACCATTTAAAGGAAGACACTGATTCAAGATTGCTCATAATTACATATTATTTTAAATGTTAAATAATACTCAAGTAAATTATGAAACAAGAAATTGGATAAAATTTTTAAATTAAAACCAGAAGATAACGGGCAAATTCAATAATGAGAAGGTAATAATAACAATTTATAAATGAACCCTCGTGTATGGACCTTTGTAACTTAACAATAACAGCAGGCCTTTGTTTGACTAAAAGTATTTATAGTTAAATAGAAAATGAAACAACCAGTGGAACCAGTTCTTCACTGCTTCTTCCCAGTTAAAGGTTTTACAATAAGATGGTTTTTTGGATTAAACAGGCCAAACACTTGATCAATCCACTGATTTTCTGGTTCAACTGATCAGTTTGATCTGAAATTTTTTAATACTCTTCCTAAACAATGCAAGTCTTGGTAGGTAGGGCTTGACATAAAATATTTTACAAGGAAACTGTAAAGGGCATAAAAAGAGTATGAATTTAAACAAGGGAATTTGCAGTGAAGAAAAGAGTATGAATTTGCATGTTACTCCAGTTCTAACTTATTCAAACACAAGGAGTAAATGGAGGAAATGGGAGGGAAAAAGAGTTCATATGTATAAACACATCATCCACACCTGTGCAAGGCAGATTTTGATTTGTCTTTATCTGTGGGCCAAGCTACAATAAAATCAAAATTTGTCAACCTACAAAACTATGCAATTCCAAAAGTGTGCAATTATTAGAGACTTAAAGTAGAAAATAAAGTAACAACAATCTATACTCCTACTAACTGGGGCCAGTTGCACTGATTAATAGATGCAATGGCCTCTATCAGAAACCAAAAATTGAATTGTTGAATCATAAATAAGTAGAAAAAATGTAAAATTTTAAGTTGGCTTCTGAAAACACTATCCCCACTAAATGGGACTCACACCAGCTATGTAAAGTGCGTCTACAAGTAAAAATTACAGATTTAATTTAGATCCATTGTGTATCTCAATATATGTTTTCATAACACTAAAAGCTCTTGACCTCTGAGAATCTCAATGATGTGACAAGTGACAACATATGATTAAATGATAATGTATGTTAAAGTTATAACTTTAGGATCAAGAATAATAAAAAAAAAGAAGCAAGAAAGAGAACTCTAGTTAATACACAAAAGATACTATTAATTGGGATAACTTAATATTGATATTTATACTAATAATTAGGTTGAGCACTTGTACGTGAAGTACAAGCCCAAGCCCACAAATAATAAATCAACATCAAACACATCAAGTTAACTATGCAATCAAATATTTCAACTCCTACTGTAACATAATATGTATTCATTGTGTTAAGGAAATTTTATCAAAATGTGAGAATTAAAAAGGCATCATGAACTGGGGCCAATTTTGTATCAGCACAAAGCATAAAGCAAAGATACAACATTGTTGTTGGAAAACAGAATACCAAGCAATTCAGTTGGAAATAATATAAGAAAACTTCACCACATAATGCTTATGTAAACTCGACTCAGCACACTGTCTGAGCAGAAAACATTACATTTATTAGAAATCCTGATGGGCACAAATAGAGTAATCTAAATTCTGGACTGTCTGGCAAGCTTGAACCACTCAGTGTGGTAAGACCCATCTATGTCAACCCTTTCATATGTATGAGCACCAAAGTAGTCTCGTTGAGCTTGCACCAAATTTGCTGGCAACCTTTCCCTTCTGTAAGTGTCAAAATAAGCAAGACTAGCAGACATACCTGGAGTGCTGATACCAGAATTGATAGCAAGGCAAACAACTCTCCTCCAGGCAGATTGGCGATCAATTATTTCTTTCGCAAACTCTGGATCAACAAGAAGGTTTGCCAGATCAGGGTTTCTATCGTATGCCTGTTTGATTCTGTCTAAGAATATAGCTCTAATGATGCAACCCCCTTTCCAAATCCGGGCCAGTTCACCCAACTTCAAATCCCATCCCTTTTCGATACTCTTTGCACGGATTAGGTTCATTCCCTGTGCATAACTACAGATTTTGGCTGCATAAAGTGCCTTCCTAACATCATCAATCAACTTCTGCTTGTCTACTAGTTGATCAGTCACAATATCACCAAAGCCACCTGATTTAAAGACCTTTGCAGCTTCTACTCTTTCCTCCTTCAACCCACTCAGAAACCTAGCATCCAATGATGCTTCAATAGTGGGAGCAGCAACTGATAATTCAGCAGCTTGCTGAACAGTCCACTTACCAGTACCCTTCATGCCAGTCTTGTCTAGAACCTTGTCAACAAGATATCCATCTCCTTTATCATCCTTAATTCCAAATATATCTGCAGTGATTTCAATCAGGAAACTCAGAAGTTCTCCTTTGTTCCATTCAGAGAAAACACTTTGTAGCTCCTCATTTGACAACTTTCCCACTGACTTCAGCACATCATAAGCCTCGGCAATCAGTTGCATGTCACCATATTCAATACCATTGTGGATCATCTTCACAAAATTACCAGAGCCACCTTTACCAATATATGTCACACAAGGACCACTATCAGGGACTTGAGCTGCCACCTTGAGAACAATATCTTCTATGTATTTGAAAGCCTCAAACGAACCACCAGGCATCAAAGAGGGACCATTACGAGCACCTTCCTCACCACCTGAAACTCCCATCCCAAGGTAGAGCAAACCCAATTCGGCCACCTGTTTCTCTCTTCTTTCGGTGTTCTCATACCATTCATTACCACCATCAATTATACAGTCACCTTTTTCCATGAAGGCAGATAGGGTCTTAATGGTTTGGTCAACAGGTGCCCCAGCCTTAACAAGCATTATTATCACCCTAGGCTTTTGAATGGAATGAACAAAAGCTTCAGGGTCATGGTAGCCATAAACTGGCAGATTTCCTTCCGCTTTTGCTCGTTCTACAGTCTCATCAACCTTGGATGTGGTTCGGTTATAAACAGAAATGGGAAAGCCTTTCTCAGCAATATTGAGTGCTAGGTTTTGGCCCATCACAGCCAGTCCAGCAAGGCCTATTCTTGTTGTGGGTTGAGCCATAATTTATCTCCTGTTCAATGATTGATATCGAATGCAATAATAAGAATGAGATACACAATAACTGGCGTGAATTTCAGATTGAAGGAAAACAAATAAGCTATAAACTACATAACTGAAGACAATTAGAACTTGATAACTCTCAATGGAATCAATTAAACTTCTACCAACTACAGCAAAATTTAACATATTCCAATAATAAAGAATGTATTAAAAGGTAGCAAAATTACCAAACTTTCTCTCAAAAAGTGAGATCGCAAAATAACCCTATGATCATTCCATACAAACATCAAAGTACCTCAAGGCTTTTGAGTTCTCTTCATTAATCTAAAAGAGTAGTGTGAACTATCAAAACCCAACTACTAAAAAAGCAGTATGCTTTCCTAGGTTTGCACATATTCAGCAAGAGATTCGGTCTCAAAACTCAAAACCCCAAAATACAAACAATAGCACACAATCGAGTAGCAATCCAAAGCAATTATTTCTTAACCCAAAATTACAAAAAGACAGCCAAGTTCTACAAGATCTTACAGTACATTCCTCTAAAGAAAAAAAAAAACAAAATACAGACAAGAGAAACCCAACAAATCGTAAGAAGTGTATCCGCTGCAAGTAAATCAGTGTGTTACCAAGAATTCCACAGTCCAACAAACTTACTCCACAACAATTAAGGGTATCAATCAGTAAAAAGTAGAAATATAAACCCAGATCAGCAAACCCCGAACATCAAAAACCCAGAAAAAAAGAACAATAACACTCTTTATTTCCGAAAAACTACAACAAAGAAAACAAATCTAGCCAAATTATGATAACAATTTGCAAATAGATTTTCTAGGGGAGTATCTTAAGTTCATACAAACCACCAAAGTATCTCAAAGTGAATCCAAAAATTAAAAGATAAAAAAAAAAAAAAGTCTTGAAGGGCAAACCTGAAATTTGAACCCAATCACAGAAAAATTATGGCCAGAGAATCACAGCACGGATGAAAAACATGCTAGGATACAAGCCCTATATATATTAAATAAGATCATAAGAATAATAATAATTATTAATTATCTGTCAAAAAATAATTAATATTAATTATTAACTATAGTTATTAAAAATAATAAAAGTGAGAAAGATTAGCTATAAAAAATTATTGTTGGCGCAGTTGAAAAACGGGGCGATAGCCAACGAGACCAAGCAGCCATATTTTTGGACCAATGAAAATGATAATTTATTTTATTATATTTTTATCGTTTTATTTTATATCTTTGATAATAGTATAATAACATTCTCCAATTAATAATATGATGAGAAAATAAAATAGTGAAAGTGGATGAAAGTTGCGGGTCAAAGTTTGTGTACCTACCAATTGAAATGTGGTAGGTGGAACGCGGTGGAGGAACGACACCGTTTACTTACCATGACGCTTTAATTCAAATTTGGGTCAGAGTCAGGCCCAATAACAATTTCTCTTTTCACATGCATGTTCTCACGTACATTATGTGAGTAAGATTGAAAGTTCAAATCATATATATTTTAAAAACTGGTGTTAAAAAAGTTATCTTTCTTTAAATTATTTTTATATAAATAAAAATTAATATTTTTGTTCAGTGTAAAAAAAAATTGAAAAAACAACCATAGAATCATACATAGAATAAATAAGTAACGATGTTAACATAAGTTTAACATGATAAACTAACCGAACATTATTAAGTTATAATGGATTTGGTTGGTTCTGTAATTTAATCTTTTCATCCATTTAATTTAATGTGTATAACTCAAGACTGAATTAAGTTTACTTTTTGCATCTTTTCATTGAATATTTAAATATTGTTTTATTTGACATTATTGACTATAATACTTTTATATATTTTTAATTTATAAATATTATCATATAGACGTGTTATTGATTCAGGTTGTCAATAACATTTTTTATTGTTGTTGACATTCAATTAAATCACTTAAAATAACGTCCATGACTAGGCCCAAATTCGCAAAGCCCAGTACATCACTAAAAAAAATAGTCATTAAGCATATTACTAAATGGGTATACATGAAGGATGATTTATAAATATACAAATATTTTTATTTAAATTCTTTAAATAGGATTTTAAATCAGAAAAAAAATGTAGTTAAAGAAATAGTAAAAGAGATTAGTTAAATATATATTTTTTCATTTCTAAAAAAATGTTTTTTCTAGTTTTTTTTTTTAAATATTTGTCCTTTTTTTAAGTTATTTTTCTCAAACAACAATAACAATAAAAAAGTTATTGGATAAAAAAATAATGAAAATTAATGCACAGTAGTGAAAAAATAGTTTCTTTTAATTTAAGAAATGACAAAAAAAAAATGTTGAAGAAGTTGCTAGTGACGATGGACTTGATTTTAGCGAAGTTGTAGATAGAATAAAAAAAAAAAACCATTATCCATGATGCAGAACAGAGGATTGTAGTGTAGTGGGTATCTTGTCCAAATGTTTTCCTTTTTGTTTTTTGTTGGCAACAGACCTTTCCAAATTCACCCAATAACCACTACACACCCTTTTCTCTCTGCCTCCCCTGCACTCACTTCCACCTGACATAATTACTTCCACAACAACACTAACAATACATTTTAACTAGTGACACCACTTCAAGTTTATTTAATCACACATCTATTTCAAACACATAGTATTCAAAAATTATGTCACTAACATTTTTCTTACATTATTACATCAAAGATAGAATATACACATTTTACATTGTTATTTTTTCCTTATGTTGTTACACAAGAAAACATTAGATGTACTAAAAAATTTGATTGATCCACAACAGTTAGGCACCCTTTACTCTAATGTTGTGGAAAGTATTAATGTAGTAAAAAATTTGTGTTTGATCCTTGTCGAGTGTACGAACTCATGGTGTTAGTTCCTGTCACATTACTGGGACAAGATTAGTCTATGCTTCAGGAAGAAAAACTTGTTTTCAGCACAGAAAATAAATATTGTAGATAAGTTTATTGAATTTGACAATAATATTGTTTATTATTGTTTAATCTGTTCTGATATTTTGGTGATTGCTGGAACTGGAAGATGAGATCATGAATGAGAGCTTTCTAATTGTTTTCTGGACCAGTATTATGATGGTGTTTTTGATTATGCAGAGTGCCCCACTAGTTGATTCTAACAATTAACCCAGCAGGTTTGTTTATGGCTCTGTAGCCACTTTAAATAATGCTTATTGCTTGGAACATATCATTAGAACTTGGAAGATAGTGGCAAAATTGTTAAACAGACAGTAAAATTAGAAACTCAAAAACATGTCATTGCCGTTTATGTTATGTTATGGTTTCACCTCATACATCTTAAAAGGGAGGCAAAGACTACCACTTTTGTACTTCCACAACAATTCACACACACATAAGAACTCAGAGAAGAAAAATTGAAGAGATATGATAATTAAAACTTTGGCCTTGTCTTCAGATTCAACCAAGCAGGTCCAAGGAGCTTGTGATTGAGGAATCAGATTTGACATAGGGAGAGACATCATCTTCGATGGGGCTCAAGGGAGGAGGGTGATATGGACTATGTAGCTGCATGTCACATATCATTTGGCGAAGTTCTGAGGCTTCTTCTCTCAGCTGAACATTTTCTTGGGCAACTCTATCATGTGACTCAGACATATGGTTCAGCTTGTCCATTAGCTGGTGGTTTTCATTTCTCAGCCAAACCACCTGTGACCACAGTTCATCAAGGTGCTTCTGCTTCCTCATGCGTGACCTGCGAGCTGACTCACGGTTGGATATCATCCTCCTGTGCTTCCTCTCATTGATGAGACTTTGCTGCTGCTCATCTGCTTCATCAGAGGTTGAGTTGCTGCTGATGCATGAGGACTGAGGGGGGCTGAATTCTGTAGCCACTTGCTGAGGGTTTTGGAAACCATAGAATTGGTTAGAGAGTTTGTGGAGTTGAAATGTGGGGGTGGTGTTCTGAACCATGCTGTAGTGACCAGGGTAAGGACAAGGGTCTGAAGGGAGTAGATAATTCAGTCCTGTGATCTCCCTGGCTTGCATGGTTTATATATCGATAGATGTATGAACAAAATATTGCAGGACCTTGGAGGCAAACTCTGATGGAGAATTAATAGAACTAAGTTGCTATTGGAGATGCAGGAAATAAGAGTGAGCTGAGTATATATAGGGAGAGAATTGGTGAAATGGCCCCACTGAATGTGGCCAGAGTAACAGTATGAGTTTCGTATTATCTAAGATAGATTGTGAAATGTCATGCACAATATGTTAATGTGGTAAATAATTCTTTGAAATTAAGGTATTTCATCACCGACAGTCAATGACTAATCCTTGAGATAATTAGATCTATTTAGAGGTTAATGTCTATGTTTTTCTTACACACAAACTGAAGGATCGAACTTGTTTAAAAAAAACAAAAGGGTTATTTATCAACTATAATGTAGTTTAACGAAGTATTACTGCAATGAAGTTTTTTCTTTTCTATAAGTCTAATGTTGGATAAGCTGCATTCACTTGAGCTTGTAAAAAACATGCTTAGGTCTATAAAAATGACAACTTTTATTAAGTTATTTATAACTTTCTCCAATAAAATTAGTGGGAAAAGATGGTTATTGATAAATTTTTATACAATAAGTTTGTATTCAAAAATGGGTTTTAATATATTATTTGTCTGTGTAAAAGGTAATTATGCTGAAAAACTCTCTTTTGAGGATTTTGCAAAAGGTTTTGTAGAATTAAATAAAACAGGCGTGTGGTGTTTATTTATGTGCATATGTGAGATGCATGGTGTGTTCATGTGGTATGTGGGGTATTAGGTTCATTGAACAAGCTATGTGAGAAAGACATGCGGCACATAGACATGGGTGACGCAACGTGGGGAAGGCAACTTGGGTTAATGGATAATCATTTTGGACAAAATATGCTTACATCAGATGGACACAGGTAGTTCAGATCATGGGGACTATAATAATTCAATTGGCAGACTGTTTAGGCAAAAGCAGGCACAAGAGAAAAAATGCATGTGCCAGAAGTCAATTTATTTTACCAAGTGTGCAGCAATGTGTTATTTCCAAGCTCATTCTGTGTTGGATTGGATAATGTTCACTTAAATGACATAACAAATTTGGAGGAAAAATGAGTTTGGGAAAGGCACGTTCGTTTCCAAGAGCAATAAGAAAGAAGGGTTGATGAATATGAATATATGATGACTCAAGAGCCACTCCTTTTGGCTCCTCCAAATACAATAATATTTTTAACTAGAAGCCAAATATTTGATCATCAACCACTTCTGTTATTTTACTATGGTTAGGTATAGTTGTTTATTTCGTCTTGGTAATGACAGCTTCAATAGTAATCTCAAGCAAAAAGGAAGATTAGCTTTTACTCCTCACACCAATTATGTTGCAGAAATACTTCATGTACCAGACTGTGATATTCATTGTATAGAGCTGTTTGAATGATATAAAGGTTTTGTGTTTGGGAAAAGATACCTGCATAAACTAGGTAAGATATGTGCACAATATAGACCATTTACGAAAAAGTTTTAGTAGGGACCAGGATATCATCCAATAACTTGCATTTTTAAGGAGTGTGTGAGGGTAAGCTTATGCATCTATCACGTGTGCTGCCATATTATCATGGCTGTCCATACAAGCTGCCTCCAGTGTAACAAAATACTGTGAATGACTGTTGAAGATTTGAAAGCAACTGTGATAAGAGTTACCACCAAGGATTACCATACTTGATCAAAATCTCACATCAGTTTTTTTCTTCCACATCCTAAATTTTATTTCCTTCATTAGTTTATGCCATGAACCTTTGGGATATACATTAATCGAACTTGAAAAGACTTTATAGCCCAAAGGGAGAGGGAAAAGGGTAGCAATCCTTTTAGTGGTGTTGACAAGTTGTTCAATTTCCAATCAGAAAGAAGCAATAGTTCCACACTGCTACTTCTTTACAATAGGCTAATGTTAATTTAATAAGAAAATGATAAATAACACCTTAATGTTTCCAATTGCTTTTAATAGATTCATTGTGTTACCAACATTAATGAAAATAAAAAAAGAAAGATCATTTTGTGATTGTATCTTGTTCTTTCTCTTCCAAGCAGTTGTTATCTGCCATGAAATTCATTTTGTTTATGACACAATATGATACTTGACACACAGTAAAAGAATGTTACTCATGTGATTTCTTGAGTTTGGTTACATCATTTTCCAATAAAATGAAAACAATTTACTCATTCAGGGAAAAAGAGAGATGAGTTTGGACTTAACCACCCAATCTGAGTGGAAAAAATGATTATGCATGTGTATGGTGGAAATTAATGAATAAGAATGGTCTTCCTCTGCATCTTCCACTAAATCAAATCTTAAAATAAATTGAAAACAGGAACCAAAAATCTAGTTTAGAAAATGCTTTCTCCTGCACTTCCCGTGTGAATTTGATTAAGTGGACCGATTGGTCAACAATATCATTAGACAGATTTAGACTCCTCTTTCTTTTCTTGTCTTCTGATTGTTCCTTACACTCTCTCTCTCTCTCCTTTTTCTCCATCAAAGTATTCCTCTTTGTTTTTCCTAACCTTTTTGAATGAGCATAATAAAAGTGTGTTTGTATTATTATATATATATATATATATATATATATATATATATATATATATACTGGGAGACTTATCAGTATGTCTTTCATTGACCTGTTTCACTGTTGGTACTTGTACACTACTTTGATCTTGTGTCATACATTGGTTTGGTGAGTTTGGTCAAAATGCTAAACCACTTGGACTACAAAATTCCCAACCCTCCATTTGAAATAGATCCTATGTTATAAAACTTTCTCACCTGATTTTTTTTGAGTTTATTTTAGGTCAAGTTGATGAAGTCTAAGTGCAACTGGCAACTAAGTCGTGTTCATATACAACATGTCAACTGTGTTTACATTACATTTCCAATCTTAATCCACAATTGGAAGTACAAGTTCTTGTCTTGTAATAATCACTGCTATTTTATATTATTATTTCTCTGCATGCTTGAATTTGCTACTGCTTTTTTCACCCTTTTCCTTATCTAATTTCAGTCCACAATAACAACTTTTTCTTTTCTAACTAGTTTGTGGTTTAACTAAAGTTGGACTTTATCCAATTTTCAACTCCACTTGGCCACAAAGAAATAAGAAGTTTGAGGTCGAACCTTATAAATCATGCCATATTTTCACACATGGTAGATATAGGATTAAAAATGAGATTAATGTACTAACATAAGACCTCACAGGCACGTGATTACCTTAAACTAGTTTTGCCCCACAATGACAACCAAAGCCTAATCCTGTTTGAATACGAAATTCAAACTGGGTTTAAGAAACCAAAAAAGGATAAAGGCTGATTCAACTTATCTATTAGTGTTAAGCCATAAAAGTTGCAACATAATCTTGATTTCAAAGTGGGTTAGTTATTATTGCACGCCTATTTTTCAGAAGAGAAGGATTCTTCTACACTTTCTTTTTCTGTCTGTATTATATTAAACAATGGTGTGATTCATCTAACATGTCGTACATGTTGTGCTATAAATAAAATAAACTTGATCCAACCCAAGTTTATGAAAATGACTCTCCCCATACATTCTATTTGGAATTTCATTCTTAATCTGCATTTCATTTCATCCAACTTGGCCAATAAAACATATTTACCATTAGAAAAGCAAAATACAGTACAATTCTGTTCATGCTGAATTTTGACCATTAACCATCTAATTTCCTGAAGAGAATTCATAATAAAGCAGGGTTGCAAGTTCATGTGCAAGAATGGTTAATTGCATAGTTTTTCCAAGTGTTTTGGACCATTATCTGCAATAGTCTAGATTAACAGAAATCACTAGGATAATATTTTACTTATCTAAACCAGAATCTACAATTATCTTATATCATAATCTTGTTTATGTCAATATGGTTACTTTATTCTTCCACTTTTCTTAACCTTAATTAGTAGAGGCAAAACTTTGTTTTTCTTCGGATATAAAATTTCTTTGATAAGATAACTGAGTGAAAAATATGTTTACTCAATTTCTATTCAACCAAAAATTAATATTATTTTTCATTCTCTTTTTTTCATCCTCTTAATTTCATTCTATATAAAGCAAGACATTAAGAAAAGAAAAAAAAATTGTTAAAAATAAATTCTCCTATCCACTCACTTACTGTTATATTAAAAAATATATAAAAAAATTATTTATTTTCATTACATTATTTTCCTAAAGAAATCTTTTTTTTTCTTATTTTAATTAAATATTTTCTTCTCTACGGCCAAACAAAACAGAAAAGATGAGGTTTGACTTAAAAACCATTTCAGGAACAAAATAATGTCTAACTTTCAAAAAATTGAATAAAATATTAGTCAGTCTAGGTTATATGGGTGTGCATAATTGCATGGGACAAGTAGATATGAGTTCATTTTTATTCTCTGTGGACTCTAAAATTTTGATTAAATTATTTATTTGAACAGCAAATCAATCTATCAAGAATTCAATATTATATAAGAAAATATAAGGTCAATGCAATTTATTAATATAATATATTAAATATAATATTTTATAGGTATAATATAATAATATAATCAGTATATGTCAAATTATTTCTAAAATTTAAACCCATCATGACTAATATTTAACATATATGTTTTAAGTGAATTATTACACACACTTTAAAATTAAAATTATTCATCAACTAAGTCATATTATATTATTTTATTTGAAATTATAGGTATGATGACAATATTATTGGAATTACTAATATTGAATTAAATTGAGTTAGTTCATTTTTTTTTCTTCATGAACGAAACTTAAAACTTAAAACCCTAATTATCTACTATTTGAAATAGTTTCTGAAATTAATTATTAGAAAATTTAATTTTAAAAATAATTTTTATGAAATCATTTTAAACTAGTGGTTTAAGCTTAAAAATATATACATTTTTATATAATAATTGTTTCAGGTGAGTGACTAAGCTTATTCTTCTTATTTGTCGTGGTTCTTTCCAAAAATGC